TCTTTCCTGCCTATGCAGGGGGTCGGACTTGATGATCTACTGAGGTCCCTTCCGACCCTAACATCTATGAATCTATGGTGCCACTCTGCTCTGCCTTCTGCCTAACTTCAGACTAACACAGCTAACTACCTCTAAATACAGTAGTGGGACATCATATATAGAAATGTGTTTTTTAAACAGTCTAAACAAAGTCACCGTAGAATAATGCTTAGAGCAAAACAGCTACTTAGAGCCAGAGATTTTATATTAGCACAACCCGTGATAAATGTTTTAGAACAGTGAGGCCAATGTTTTTGATAACAATGTCATATCCAAGTGCCACTCTGATCTCCTTCTCCAGCCCAATGTGCAGCTTTGCTTTCTATTCGCAGAACTGTGCTCCCTGCCTAATTCACTGCTCTGCTTCCTGCTGTATCTGCGTCTGTGCTTCATGTCCCCTCCCCGATCTGCCATGTGCCACATATATAGGCTGCTTGTGCCACTTGTGGCACTGGTGCCATAGGTTGGCCACCCAATTTGGAATACGCCTCGTTTTAAGACCATTATAGGAGAAGGTAATATTGTTTTGTTCTATGCAGATTTGTAGCCCCCTATCAGAAATGACAGCACATCCGGAGTGCAAGCAGTTTGATGATCATACATCTTATTTACCTTCAAGGAAGTCACTTGACAACCCCAAAAGTGAGATCAAAGACACAACAAAAGATCTGCACAAAAAGAAATACTCAGGGGAGTATTTCTCCCTTGCTCATTCAGAAATATTTCAGGGGAAAAAACCACAAACAGCCTATAGCTCTAGGATAACTTAGCAGCAGCAATTTTTAAAAATGGTATGGGTTCTGCAGCAATGGACTGCTGTATCACTGTGGGATTTCCCTACATCCATCCTGTATATTTATGCTCCTTATAATAAATTCCTCCATTGGAAGGAGTAAAACTATGTATTGTACTTTTGCTCAGATACCATGAATTAGCTTTTCATACAAAACTGAGCAAAATATTTTTCTTCCATCACTTGGCAGAGAAGAATCCTTAAAATTAGAGCTAAAACATTCATCTTTTCTGTTCGTCTATTACCTATCACAAGTCACAAGGGGGGGATACTAAAAACAGAAATGTAAATTATTTAAAAAAAGATATAGTTACCCAAACATAATCATTTGGGTATAATGTTACATTCTAATTGAAACAGTTGAGACATGCAATACACCTATTTATAGAAGAACAGGGGAAATAGAAGACAAGAGTACTGGAGCCTAAATATCAGAAAAATCTCCTAAAGGGACATTAGTTTGTTCATTCTGCTTATCGAGGGCATACCAGTATAGTTTATAGTATGTAAATGCAGCTGTGGCTTTGGAGGTATGAAAAAAAATCTGTAAATGTTTTGAAATGTAAAGTACATTACCAGAGAATAATCACTCTACAATATGCAATTAACTCTGATTATATACATTTTAAAAACCAGAACAGTGGCTTGACTATTTGGTTCTCATGCAATTTTCTGTCTAGGTTCACACCACTGTAACGGAATATTTAACAAAAGCTCTTAACATGTAAACTTGGAGCTTAAAACAATTTGTGTTTTAGAGCTAAAACTAGATGACAGTACTTCTTTAAATCAAGTGTTAAACCAATTGTTTCAACTTAGTCATATATCTAAAGTAATTCATAGAGAGATTAACTAAATAAAAGTACAGATAAAAAATTAGTAAACTACAGCCTTTATCCTTGTTTTTACATACCTTGATGGGTACTTCAGCGAGTACGCAGCAGCCAGGAATCCCCCTAGGTTGTGTCCAAGGAAAATCATTTTGTCTAACCCTACTGCCTGTCTCCATTCTTCTATAGATTCTACAAATTGATTTTCTGCTTCTTCTGCATCAGTGTCAAAATGTGGTCTACTACTGCGCCCAAATCCCAAGAGGTCAATTGCATAAACGGTTCTATTTTCACAAAGGTCTTCAAAATTAAGAGCCCAAAGTCCAACACCTCCTCCAAATCCATGAAGGAGAATAAGTGGAGTTTTAAGTGAAAGGTCCTGAGAGAATGTGAGCGTCCATATTTTATTCCCATTGGATATGTAGACATATTGTTTACTGTATGTGCTGGTGATACCTGAAAAAAGAGAAACACCACTTTGATACTTTATATTTCATTAGTCACATCTAACCTATGAAAACCTGAGGCTGGGACACCGGATACCTATCAGAGCAAAACCAAAGGTCCCAAGAAAGAACATACTGAGAATTTCATACTAAGTCATATTTATTTCATTTGATGCAAAAAAATTGTTAAAAAACAAACCAAAATCCCCAAGTGATTGTTTTGGATAGAACTTTATATCAAAAGTAGATGTACTTCTTCATACACTTCACTATAATGTATACAGAATAAAAACAAATACAAACAAGAAAAAAACCCTTACACTTCAGTATTTTCTCTTCTGCGTCTTTAAGATGTGGCATTGATGTGGGACACCATGCAGGAAGCCAACTGGACAGCCATCCTGACCTAGAATGGCAGTAATAAAAATAAATTTTCCTTTGAGCAAGATGACTTATTTTGCTGCATTACCTAAAGTTGGTGTGCATATAAATTAAGACAAATTAACACTTAAACAAATGCCTTTAAAGCATTTCAAAGGAGCAGCTGGACACATACAGGACCTTTAAAATGTTCTGAAAGTGGCAGAAAAACTTCAAATTCATACCTCTTTAAATGAAGTAATATTTTGGAGTGTTTCACTGTTCATGAACCCAGAAACACAATGAAGGGGGACTGGGGCTGATGCCGGATCTGGGCTTAATGACTCATTAGAATCCTAGGGCCCCACTGACACTGAACAGCCTTCCACCCTCAATTCCCCCTAAAGGGGAGAGGAGATGTTCATGGGACTTGAGAACGCTGTTCGCTCTGCTCTCAGCTCTCCCTGCTCTTCTCCCTCCTGTCCCTAGTTAAGAGCAGAGCAGCAGATTGTTGCAGTCTGCTCTGGTCCCCCCTGGCAGGCACTAGAGGAGGCTGCAACAATGAAATAATCCAGCCAGAACCCCACAGGGCCACACCTGTGCCCACTGGCCAAAATGTTTTCTATCTGAAGCATTTTCAAGTGCATTTCACTTGGAAACATTTAAATTGTTACATCTGTCCACACCACAAGCATGTATTCTATTGGGGTAACACGTAAACCACATACATTAAAAAAATATAAAAAAATAAACTTTTCTGGCATATATCCATACAGTCTTAGGACTGAAGGCACTTAGCCTCTTCCACAAACAGGTATCTGAGAATAAATCAAAGCTATTCTACAAATGTATCTATACAAAATTTAAGTTGCTATTAAACAATATATATTGGCACCAGCACAAACCAATTTAGCTATTAATCCATTAATTTGCACAGCAAAGTTCAGGTAGTTTTCAAAATATTTTTTCAATTGATATATCAACTGTATTTTAGTGAATTATGGTCTTGAAAACTGAGTAAACAATACCTTGATATCAACAGTACTATTATGTTAAGCAATCTACGAATATACTCAGCAGAAAAAGTTAATGCACAACTGAAGAACCCAACAGTTTAACACACAAATATTCTTCCTATGCCCTCAAGCAAGAAACTATATATTCCTAAACCATGTGTAAAAGTCACACAGCGCAAACTAGAAACAAAGTACTGATATGACCAGGTTGATGCACCATGAAAGAAGTCCATAGTTCAGTCATTACATTTTATTTCTTACCCTCACTAATATATAAACTTGAAACTGAGAATAAATATTCAGTCATCTATTTAAGTTGTGTACTTATAGCTACACACTCTCCCATCAATTAGATTTTAATTAGGGCTATGCAAAGCTTCGGGTGGTGATTCAATTCGGAGGAGATTCGGCCCGATTCAGTGGCCGAATCTCTAAATCTGAATCGAATCATGGGACTAATTAAAAGGTCCGAATCAATTTGAAGCTCTCTGAATCTTCGGAAAAGATTTGGAGAGCTTTGATGATTTGGACAGTCCCCGGTGGCTGCAGCACGGAGCTACAGCTGGACTCAGAGCTGGTAAGTAGGGGGCGGGGGGGGG